AAGACGACGACCACAGCTGATAGCAGAGATGCAGACGCTGCCCAAGGAGCGCTAGCACCACCTACAGAGAAGAAACTCACCGAGAAGGCCGTTGCCAAGGTAAAGGGCCTTACGTCGGCCAGGAAAACGAAAAGAGTCAGCGGTGAACCGAGCACTATCAACACAGCTGCGGCCAAGGCGGCCCTAGGTGCCGAGGGTGGTGTGCCTGGCATTATCAGCGCCACAGCCTCGCAGTCGCAGGTCTCACCTGAACACCAAGACGTCATCCGCGAGCTGGACGGCTGCATCGGCGTGCTTGGTGGCCGCTTGACAGACCTCGAATCCCTGGTCCGCCGCCTGAAGAGTGGCCAGTCGCCGAAGCGGGCCGTGTCGGAGATTGTGGAGCAGAGCGCCTCGGAGATCATCAAGATGTTCCTGTTGTCTCAGCCCAAGACATCGTCGGCGTCGAGTGGAAGTGGCTCGTCGTCTAGTGCGCCTGCTGCTGCCGCAGCTTCGCCGCCGTCGAGCCGCGCATGGACAGCTGAGCAAGCGTGGTACCTCGTGCGCGAGATTGGCGCCAAGGGCGGCGACATTTGCTACAACGATATTTTACTGTCCGACACATTCGCCTCCTCGAATGCTGGCATTGCAGCCATTGACGCCCTGGCGGCCGCTGAGCTCGTGACGGTCAAGTCGTTCCGCGGCCGACCGCAGTCCATCAAGGCCGGCAGCCCGGTCTACCTGGCAGCGTTCCAGTTCCTCTGCTCCGACGCTGCCTTGGCGGCTCGTCTCGACCGTGGCGTGTTGGCCGAAAAGGCAGACACGGAGGCCAAGACGGTGGCCAAGGTCGAGCAGGAGCTGGCACTGCTGGGCACGTTGTCGAAGCAGCCGCAGCAGACGATCGACCGGATGAGGTACTTGCTAGACAAGCTTCAGGAGTCGCAGGCCAAGATCCGGACGTACGAGGTAGAGATGGCACGCCTTAAAAAAATCATGTCCGAGACAACATGAGCAAATCGGCGTTGCACCTTCATTCTTGGGCGAAGCGGGAGCCTTTTTGACTCCTGTATCTGCTCTCACATCTACACTCATCCCGAATTTTTAACAATCTATTTTATCGTTTTGTTCTCAGACAATGCTATGCCATCCCCACGAAAGTAATTTCATTGTGAACGTCAAAGCGCCATATTGGAGCAAGTGGAAGATAATGTCCCAGAAGTTGGTCGGGGTGGGATGCAGAAGAGCTCCCCGATGTAAAACGACAAGGTGCAACGCTTGTAGTGTCATAGCGTTTTTGGCCAAGATGGGATGCACTTTGGTTGGCCAAAGAGGTTCATGTGAGTCGAGGGTTCCATTCTGTCAAGACGTTAGGAGGCGTTCTTGCTGTCATGCCACGGGAATTCCCAGTCGTCAGTATGGCTAGGCGTTTTCGTTGTATTATTTTACTGAAGTATTTTATTTTATCGTCTTATAGTATTTTATGGGTAAAATGAACTCCGATGATGAAAGCCGCACGTTGTGTCAAAGAACACGATCCTCCCAAGCAATCTCGTTTATGTTTGACTAGTATTACTGTCATCGCTGCCAAGGCATTCCCTTTCTGCTCAAATCAATTTATTATTGCCCCCATCATTATCCATCGACTTGAAACAAGATACCAAGAACACCAGTCAGTGCAGAGTCCTTTCCCTCTCACCCAGCTGCTTGCAACGCGACAATACGACGGCACCAATGCACGCACTGACACTTTGCCACGACGCCGAGCTGCAGAGAATTTCTAGAAAGGTCATGCAGAGCAGCGGGTAGTCTCCTGTGAACGGACGTCCTTTGCTTCCTGGCCTCATTTATGTCGTTTCTTGGGCAGGTTTGACGTTTTGTCGCCGACTTTTCTTTCTACTTCATCGACACAGTTGCCAAGCCGGGGCAGAAATGAATGATCATTGTTCGCCGTCCTGCTTGTCTCGGCTGTTCCCTTGAGCTAAGATAAAAGAGCGACATTTAGAAACGAGATGGCCTTATGAAGAATATTGACCAGGTTCTGGGGTTCTGGGGATTTGCGGTTTATTTTTTTTTTTTTTTTTTTTTGTTAATCTGCTCCCGTGTCTATCGAATGAATCCTCCGCGTGGATTTTCTTTGATCTACTCTCTTTTGCCTTCAACATCGATTTGCCGGCCAGGCAACAGCGAAACAATGCAGAGCGCCCCGAAGTGGTCAAAGGTCGTGGTTCGGAAACGAGCCGTAAAAACCAAACAACTGCCGCAATAGTAGAAATAGACAAATATATAACAACTTACCATCCATGTGACCTGGAATGACCCGGCTGTGCAAAGCTCACCTATAGCCCTCCATCATCGACCGCTGCTCCGGCCTGTGTAGAGGTATTTTTCTGATCAGGAAACCTACTTAACTGACGCTTTCTGCTGAGTAGATATATTATGTACATACGTCACTGGCGCAATTGTTTGATGTTGAAGCATGTGTCAGGGACATTCTATATAGTACTATGGCACAATTTCGTCGTCTTTCACTCCGTAGACCACCCTTTCTGCCTTATCAGCAGGATCACCTGAGGGTGCTATATATCAAAATGCAAACCCAAAACAGGTTGTTGGCTTACCAATGTAGGGTTTAATGCAAAGCTGCGTCTGGCCTGTCCGACGCAGCTCGTGTCACCTGTTTCCCTTGTACCAATGATTTCTGAACCTGACATGTCGCAAGGAGAACCGGCCTTACGACGCGCAAGACAGGCCACCCCGGTTTTGAATGTCTCTCGTGACCACCTCCTATAGCACAGATATACTGGTAGGGCTATGCATGTAGGAGAAGGATGCCAACCGGCAAGGTATCGCAACAGTTCTTCTGAAGGTTCGGGGGGGAAAAGACAATAGGACGAAACAAACTTGCATGTGGCGTATGCAACATCGAGGTAACAAATTTTTATGACACAGATAGCGGGCATCACAGCGGCCCAAAATGAAAAGTAAGCAAAAAAACAGACACCTGCTAGGGATATCAGCCCAGGGGACAGCAAAAGAGATCGGTTCTATCCAGACGAAGTATGACACCAATTGGCGCAATGGTGGCAAGGGTTGCTATCCGTGCGCATCTTGGTACAAACCGACGAGGGAACCGCAGAGATATGAACCGGCACGGATCATGAACAGACTCTGCATCTTTATGGTTCGTGCTCTTGTATCCAATACCTGCCACACTTGCAAGATCGCAAGGTGGTCTTGTTTTGGGCGAGCCCACATTTATAGGGGTCAAAACGGCTCGATGCCAGCGGCTCGTTGACAGGCAAAGCATGGATGATCCTGGAATAAAAAACACACTTGCAAAAGAAAAGCTTTTGCGTGCCACGTGCGGACATAATTAACAGAGAGTCGAAAAAAAGAGATGAACAGAGGAACGTCATGGCCGAAGCGGATACGGCAGAATGCCTCGAGGTCAAAGCATTCTGTCCACAATCCTCCACTCCACAACTCCTAAAACAATGAGATAACAAGATCACAAAGTGTGTGAGACGCTGTACAGTTTCTTGCGTTTTGTGCCCTTGTTGCCTGTGTGGAGCCGACAGCCTGATTTCTGGTTTTTGATTACCTGCCAGCCCGTAAGAACCGCAGCTGACCATCATCTGGTTCCAGTCCATGGAATGTTGTGTGCTACTCGAGCCATACTTTGTTCATATCACATATATACTGTAACTGTGCTTCACGAGCATTGAGCTTCATCTCTTGTGTATCTTTCAAGACAGCACGTAATAGCGTCCCGGTAAGCCGGAAAAGGAGCCTAGTAAAGGAAGCACCAGAGGAAACGCTTCAAGGCCGGGAATAGGAAATGCTGTGCTTGTATTTGTATGACGCTTACCAGCACCATGCATGTGTGCAATTGTGTATGTGGTAAATATTGGAGACAGTGTTTGTCAGACAGATGTCGGGGGAGGGGGGGTGTGTGAAGCAAAGACAGAGGCAGCCAAAGTGGTGGTGGGGGTGGGAGAGTTCGAGAAAATGCGAAGCATATCAGGAAAAGGGGCAAGGAAGCCAGAAATTTAAAATGTCAAATAGGACGACAAACTCGGTCCTTGTCGTGATGGAGGGTCAACGTAGGCTCGCTCCGTCATATGATTAGAATAAAAATATGAACAAAGCACACGTCTTGGAGAAGGTCAAATATCGACGCTTGCCCACCATCGGCCTCTAAAAATGGTGTTTCTTTTTGTCTTGCTTTCTTTCCTTTTTTGTCAAATTTCACATCTCGCTACCAATACACCTCAAGCATTCTTCTCAGTGAGGACTAGCCCTCAGCAACTTCGGTGGCTGCCTCTTCAAAAAAACCGCTCAAAAAAGCACACTTCAATCACTCACCTTTAGTGTCATTGATCACTTGGAAGCTTTGTCACCTCCAGCTCAACATAATACCACGAAAATAAGCCACAAAAGAACACAACAACAATGGCGGCAAATTCGGCAATGACGACCGGCAACAATGCCGACAAACCAAACCCCAAGCCGGGACCCGAACCGCCAATGCCGAATCCGCCCCGGCCTGACGAGACGTCGTCCTAGAGGGAAATGAAAGGACCGAGCCGGTTTCCTAGTGCTTTCCTCATATCGACTAGCTTCAGACGGTCCGAACCGAACAAATAACCAAGTGAGAAACTAGGGAAGGAAAGGCAGGAGCGAGGACGTCCACGCACGCCGATGGGCAGGTGAAAGTGCGGGGAGATGAACATGTACTAAGACCAGGGATTTGGGACATATTGGGGGCGAAGACAGCATAGAATGTACTACAATGTGTGGAACGTGTTTTGGGCGGAACTGCTTGTTCTTTCCTTTTGTCCCTTTCACTTGTTTGTCAAATTCATTAGATTGAAGTACAAGAAGAATTTCATCAAGCCTTTCACAGAATTATCAAAGAGAAACAGAATTGATTTAATAGAAGTCAAAGGCATCTCAAATACTTAATTACAAAAGGCTGGTTGGTGTACATGTCATCCACGATCCTCTACAAAGAGCACCTTCTAGGTCTCTTCTTTAAATGCTCCAAAGTTTCCCGAACGCACCAGCTCCAAGATCTCAAACGTCAACCGCCTTTCCGTCTTTTGGTCCATGATACTGCTTCCATCATCATCGCCATCCTTGTCGTTGCTGTTGGTGTCGTTGCTATGGTCCGCGCTGCCAACTTGCTTGTCTACTGCTGTCTTAGGAGGTGGGATGTGGGCAACAAGAATGCCCTCTTGGTCCATGAAGTGGACAGTGGGACCGCGTGCCCCATTGCTGGTTAGAGGCGGTGGTGAGGGATCGGCGTAGACCACCAAGTCTGGCCCTGGTGTGCCACGCCATAGTCCGGCCATGTATTCCCAGTGGGCTATGGGGGGGAACGAGTCGTTGATGGGGATGGAAATCGCACACTTGTCCGCAATGGCAAGGCTGTAGCCAGTGGTGACCAGCGCCACAGGCAAGAGTTGGGATGGCTGTGAATTTGCGAGTGTTGTCGTTGTCGAGTGAAGGGAGGGGCTGGCAGAGGCTTGTGAACCGTCACAGGTCTGTACCATCCGAGAGCTGTCAGGTGCTTTGGACGAACCTTCACTCTGCAATGCCGAAGACTGTGAGGTCGGCGAGAGTCGCAAGTCCATTGGAGACCTGGCTGGTGACGGTGGACCGTTGGAGATGTCTTTCACCTTCCTCGACAACGGAATCGACCCCAAAATCTCCGAGCTGCCGCCAGCCGTGTGAATGTGATCGTTGATTTCGGTCGTGATCTTGTGCCAGGTTGGAACGAGCCGCATAAGATCCTCGATCGTGCTGATGGTGAAAGAGAGAGACGTTGGGTGGGTGCTCTCAAAGCTTGTACTCCCACGGCGGCTGTTGCAGTCACCACCAGACTCTGGGCTGGGTGCCATGCTCACATCTTCGACATGGATGCTGCTGCCCACGCCGCTGTCTGTGTTTCTCTTCTGCATACCATGAATTCCGGAGGTCTCGTCTCCTTCCAGAGGGGTCATGGTCCAACTGCGGATGTTGCATTCACCGCAAGAGACAAGTGCTCGCTCCACAATACGGCCGACAGCATCTCGAAGAGCAGCATTGTGGCCCTCGATGGCAATGAATAGGCCGCGACGAGGAGGCACTGGCCGCGGTGGAGAGATCCGGCGCAGTACTTCGTATTTCTTGAGGTAGGACACACTCATTACCATGGCCCGGATGCCGCTTGCCCGGCTGTCTCTGTCGACGATATTTCCGTCGTCGTCGCGCCTGGCCACAATGGGCGTCGGCGATGAAGCAAAGGTGCGCATATCTTGAAAGTACGCAGGAGTGGCAGCAAGTTTTCCAGTCGTGGGCCCATTGCTTCCGGTGGATCCCCGGACATCCGAAGCGGATTGATCTGGCGCCATACTCGATCCCGACAATCGGGCTACTTGGAGTGCGGGAGATACGTCAGTCATGAGAGGGGGCAGCTTGAGAGACTCGTCGGTGAAACCCGACGTGGGTCGTGAATGATTCTGTTGGAAGAGGCGCTCACGGTTGCTAGCAGATATCCTGCCAGAATCCAACATTGACCTGCCGAGTGCTGTTTGAGCTGAAGTTGGTGTTGGCATTGGACGAGTTGGAGGTCCCGCCATTGCCGTTGATGGCGTAGCCGCACTACCGGGGCCTGACACTTGGTAGTATCCATAGCCGTCTTGTGGAGTGGGCGGTGGCAGCCGACTAGGCACGATCCCATGGCCTTCTCCTCTGGCTGGATGCCCCGATGCAGGTGTGAGAGGACCCCCTATGGTATCATAGCTATGACGAGGCGGCGGATGCCCTGCATATCCTCGTGGGGTATGGCGCATCGGCGGCGGTGGAGGTCCCATCCATGGGGATGCTGGCGGAGGGGCAGGACCTGAGGAAGGATACTGCGACACAGATGCCGAATGGGGTACTTGGTTAAGCGAAGACGAAATATTGTCGGAGGCAGGGCGATATGGCAGCCGCATGTAAGATGGGTGCATGCTACCCTCACCATTTTCGTAAGGAGAAAATTGTGCCGAGAAAGGAGTAGGTGGCTCATAGTGCCGCATCCTCTGGTCAGATGGAGCATACGTGTCTTCGATCTTGAGGCTTGGATAGCCACGAGGCACAGCGCCCACCGTACCTGGCCGTCCATACGGTGGCAAGGGTCGTCTTCCTACGGCCTCTCTCGAGAAGGCACCTCGACCACGAGGAGGTGACTGGTGCTGTTTCGGGCTGGGACTGGGATGAGGAGGGCGAGAACGATCCTCATCCACATCGAAGCCGTCAAATGAAGCTGTTTGCATACGCCCGTGAGGTGCAACAAACGGCGAGGATGGAGTTGGGGCCAACCTAACCGAGCTGGGGATGGAGCGTGACGAGAGAGGCGGTGCCTTGAGGCGGCGGCCACACTTGTCACAAGTACCCAAGTCCGGTCCATCACCGGCTGCACCGCTCCGACTCTCACTGCCAAGTGACGACGCAGTGCCCTGCTGTTCCCCGCTGGTGTTTTTCTTCTTTGCTCGCTTGGGTTGATAGCGATAATCTGGGTACATCTCTCGATGGCGTATTTTTTCTTCTTCGGCACGCTGTTTCCAGTACGCTTTGCCTTTGCCATCCAGCTCCCTCCACATTTTGCCAATAATTTTGGAAATGTCCGGATTTGCGATGCCGGGGTTTCTTGCCACGACCTGAGACTGGTAACTCTGTCGATACAGCATGAACACGTTGCGAGGACGTGGGATTTTTTGCTCTCTACAGAGACAAAACGAGTCGTCCGCAAGATGGCCTTCAGGCAGCACGGGAGTTAGGGTAACAGACATATCGAATCGAGAGTCCGCGACGTCCCCGTCATCGTAGTCTACTTCGTCGTCGTCGTATTCACTTGGCGGTGTTGCAGAGTCACACGGCCGTTTCCGACTTGGTAGAGGCGCAGTGCCTCCAGGTGTGTTGTCCCGGCTGTCACTTGCTAAGTCCTTGCCATCTTCAGGATCACCGTCACCACGACCTTGGACACGCTCGTTATCATTGTTATGAGCATTGTAACTGGGATTTCTTGGTGGTGGCGGAGGTGTGAGATCCAAAGGAGGAGGTCTGTGAGCCTGGGCACGCGAACCAGTTTTTGGTGATGCGAAATGTCGACCTTGCGGCGCAAAACGGTGGCCCAGCGATTCGTTTCTCCTTGCTGCGCCTAGACCTTCGTCAGGCGTCTCGCCATCGACGGGCCTGGTAGTTTTTAGCGTCATATCTGCTGTCAGAGGTTGGAATGGATATGGTGAAATAATGAGCTCGAGCACACAATGAGCTTTGTGCTGCACTTTTGATTTGAAACCAAAAGGACGAAGACGGAGGCCAGAATGCGTCTATTCTCGGGTTGGCAGGTGCAGGACAAAGAAGAGAAATAAAATAAGTGGCTCGAGACGCAGTGCAGCAAAGAGATCGATAGACCGGGGGACCGAAAACTGAGAGGAGAGGAAACCGAAGAGAAAGAAGACGGTAGAAAACAAAATTCTCAGTCGAAAGTAGGACGGCGGGTTGTATATAACGAGGAAGGTACAGAGCAAAAAGGAATGACAAAACAAGACAGCTGCCAAACAAGGGATGGTTAGGTGAGAGACGTCCAAATATAATAGAAAGGAAAAAGAGGCGGGAGTTCTATTCGTGGACAGCAAACATAACTCCAGTGTAGGTGGAGATAAAGAGAATGAGAGGGAGAGGAGGTCCATAGAAGACAACAAAGGATGTGTGGTTTCCAGGAAGATTCAGGGAGAAGAAAGAAAGAAAGGCAGAGGGCATGGAGACCTAAAATAGGGCCACCTGGATTCGTATGAAAACAAACGAGGCACGAAGAAACAGACGGGTCAATCCTGGCACTGAAAAGCAATGAAGTACAGAAAAACTCTTGTAAAGACCAAAAAAGGGAAATGAGAAACGGGTTTTGAGACAAAATCGGCAAATACTTTAAGGAATGGGACGGGAGACACCTAAGGTCAACGGTGACGACAGTGTTTTGATCGGTGTACGCCGCTCAGTTCAGTCAATGTGCATGAGATGACGAACAGCGGCCGCAAAAAAACGAAGAAAAAAGAGAGAGAGAATAGGTTGCGGATGTCGAAAGTTTCACACGGAACCACACATGCCCGTCGTTTGGGTCAAACTGGCAGGCGTTTGGTCTGGAAAGAGAAACAGAGGACGATGAAAGTCGAAGATATGCCGATACGAAATGTCTGAAGAGATAAGTTGTGGGTATCATTCTCCGTTACCTCTCTCTGAAGAGAATTAAGATATATCGATGAATGGTCGAAAGTGAGCAGTAAGAAAGAAAGCAAGAGGCAAGAAGAGACTGTGAAACAGGGTAGCTGGATGTACTTGCAAATGAAATATACAACAAGCATAAGTCGACGGCAATTGGCACGGACGAGTCAGGAGCCGGGATATTGTGAGTTAGAAGCAACAATCCAGGTCTGGCCGCACCGCTATAACATGTCACATAGAGCTGAGAAAAGCGTCTGCTAGCGGTCATGCGATTGGATGTGTCAGATTTGCCAGCAAAGAGATATGTGATATCTCGGCACATGAGAGGGAGCAGAAAGAGTGCATCAAATCAAGTCGTGCGGCGTTTTCTCAGAAAGAGCAACTATTGCGATAGGACCTGATGTTTTTCAAAGCGTACAGACCAACGTGGAGAAATGGTCGAAAGGAGGATCACGAACATGCCTCGAACAAAGTTTGAACACAGACTGGGTCAATATCTCCAGAGCGGTGAGAGATCGACGAGGAAAGGCAAAAGTGGCAAAGCAGTTGATCTAGAAGCGAATGGAGACCATCTTCAAGCTCGGGGAGGGGGAGCAGAGCTCCGGGGTGTGATGCATGGCGGCTCAAAAGGAAGTAGAGGCAGACGTATCGCGGAGACGGAAGTCCAAGGGCGGATGAGGTTGGTAGGAGGGTTGTTCGAAGGAGGTCGTGGGGTGGAAACAAAATACAAAGAAGAACTCACAAACACGAATGTGAAAAAGGCGACTTGGGGAAGCGAGGACAACAGGATCAGTGTAGGAAAGAGCCCGAGCCATGCCTGGCCTGCTCCTCCCCTTCGTGCACGAAACGAGGCTGCCAGAAACGCACCTTCTGGTTTCGATGCCATTCGCTGGCATCGCAGCTTCCCTTTACAGCATTGAAGGCAGGAGCCCCTTGGCCGGTTGGACGACTACCGACTCATTCCTTTGTCTGTGGATCTTTACTGGGAACGCATGCATCTCAGCACACCGTTGGTTTCCCCTGACCAAAGCCAGTCGCGATGTGTCGTTCATCCATGCCATTCTCTGCATTCATCGAAAGCGTCCTGGACGACAAGGCGACGCGCAGAACAAACAATAGGAGTCATTCTCTCCCTGTTCTTGCCCTCTTTGTATGCTCCTTCCCCTTGCGCCCTGCGTTCTTGGTATTTTTGCTTCGGAGCTCTTTCCCATCCCAGACAAAGGTAAACAGACATCCAAAAAAAACTAGGAAGGAGGGATGCAAAACGACAAACCAACAGACAGATGCTAAAAGAGGGAGGGGCGATCGAGGGATACCAGCCGTTCTATCCGTAAAGTTCGTTTGAACAAAGAAGGAGACAGAAAAGGTGTGCTGCAAGAAACACCATTGGTGTCAATAGATACAATGTACTTCAAGCTGCTGTTTGCGCCGTCCTCCCCGTCACACTGTTCAGCGTGAAGCCATGTACATACCGCGTCATGCCCCAGGCTGCCTTCCTAGCGCGTGAGCCTCCTCACGTCTGCTATTGCTGCGTCTCCTCCGCAAGATCAGAGAAATACGCGCCCAACAGACATCGCGAATAAGGGCAGCGAGCTGGCAATCCGTGCGACAACAAAGCGACAACGGGCGGTTGGTCCCAATGCGGGACAACAGGCCAACAAACAGTACCCTAGAATGGCTAACATGCATGAGACAATGGCCTGCCAGCACGACAAGGTGACGTGCCCTGTTTTCAGTTTGCTGCTTTCTTTCTTTCCCCCTCCCCTAATTTCCCTCTTCGTTCTTTTTTTGTGCTACCGTATTGTTCGTTTGCGACACTAGCCCGTTTCTTATTTCACCATATTATTACATGCAGTTGTTGAGCGCCTGGCGCTTGTGATAGGTCCTTGGGCTGACACGACGGAAGCAGTACGGGCCATGGTTGTTCTCAATGCTGAGCGTCCTCTCATAGCCACGTTTGTCTGCCCAGATGCTTCTGTACCGCGAGGCTCCTTATCATACGGGGGTGTACGAAGATAAGAGGTAGATCTTCCCAAGTTCCCGCTGCATGGCTTTCTCGGACCTCTTCGAACACTTCCTACTGTCTAAAGTAAGATATCTTGCTCTTTCCGGCCTAGGCTGTTCCCTGGTTATTGTTTGCGACGACATCATCTCTCTTTGAACATCTTGTCTTGCATGGTATTGTTCTAGGCCTCCTTCCCCGTCTGCACTAGCCTTGAGTGTTGCACTTTTGAGCTTTCCCATCCTACTGTGATTGTGTTTTATTTTCATTCGTTTCCGCATGTATTTCAGGTCGTATCCCAGCCAGCAACTGGCAAGGGTCCTGCATGCATTATGTTATTGATTTTTTTGGTCTTCTTTTTTCTTCCTTTCCTCTTCTGTTCCTGTGCTTCGTTTTCAACGCCCATGGTCTCCCTGCTGTTGTCCTTGACCCCGTACGGTACTATTGCGTTTGTATTTTTAGGTCAGGCCGTCTTACTGTTTTGTGTCTGTTGGGTTCTGGCTCTGGTAGTTCGTTGTTCTCATTTTTGTTGTCCCTCCTGATTGTCTCGAGCCCCCATCTTCATTCCGCGTTTTAGATATCTCCATGACAAGGTGCTTTGATCAACAAAGAAGTGCCCAGAAGGATAGCAAAAGTGTTATCGTGCCAATGTCAAGATCAACGTGCCGAAAAAAGAAAATGCGCGGCACGGCGGTACAAATCCATTGGGACTGGCGTCCAAGCGCCAAACACAGGACATAAAAATAATGCTGGGCTGCAAGTACAGGTGCATCAATGCGGCCTCCCTCGGCTGCTTTCTGAGGACAGCAACCAACAGGCGCCAAGAAAACAAAGTATTGGTAAAATACAAAATCACTGGCCAGAAAACGAGGCAATGGATGGATCTTGTTGCGTCCGAACTTAATTCGACTAGCAACATTTCGTATTCTTACGACATATAAGGACAATTGACCGCAACGAGTTGCTGTATGGAAAAAGCCACGGAAACAAACAAGTAGAAAAACGCTGCGAAAATCACATTGTATTGGTCCATAGATGGTCCAAAGTCCAACGATAGATGCAACCACAGTCAAGATGCAAGTTAACTACCCATAACTTTTCGTTGATACCGCTTAGCCGCGCTTGTACGTCGAACTCTGTAACTTACAACGTTGTCTGACCATTGCTTTTGCCAGGTGGAGTGCAAGTATCTGCGATACGGAAATGGGCAAGCGTGGGGAGTCTTAGACCCTGGGAGTCGAAAATTATCCCCTGGGGAAAGTAGCCGATCGACAACATGGGGGTCATGCTGCTACATTTCTGGGTTAGCATTTGCATAGCCGACAGCCAACCACTGTAATTTCTTGTGAAAGGGAAGTGTGCATGGTGCAGCGGGCTTGGCCAACATCGGCAGCTGACTTTGACAATGCGTTTCGTCTGTTGCTCGTCAATCGTTTTTCCACCTGTCAAAATCGTATTCCCCCTTTCCCACTCCGCCGATTAGATATGATGCTTGCATTACGTTCCCCCGTCGAGCCTTGTGCCCTATTGTGCCCGGAGTTCTTGGATCGTGCTCGGTTCTGATGCAGTTATGAGTTGGGCAGCAAGTGTGACAGTCTTGGCTGAAAAAAAAAAAAAAAAAAAGAAATAAAGAATGCTTAGAACTTCTCTTTTGCAATTATATTTCACCACTTTGCACTTGCCTTTCGCGGCTATCTCATGCCATTCGGCTCTTTTTTGTTTTCATTTATAGTTTTGCATATTTAAAATCACTTTCCTTCCACGCTGCCCGAAGCTTCCATTTCTTTGATTCTGTGCATGAGATTGTTGTTCTCCCTTGCTTCCCCTCAGCCAAACCATCTTCACTTCATTCCTTTGTGTCCTCGAGACAATAAGCCAATCAGCTGAGCTTGTGATGGTTGGCCAAAATGAAACTATGGGAGAACAGCGAACAAACCGCAAAAGGGAGGGGAAGAGGTTGATGGGGGCCAAAAGATGGATGCTGGCTGAATGTCGAACGTAAGACGTCCTCAAATAAGCAAGAATCAACTGCGCTCATCCAATACGAAAAGTCCTCTGATGAGAAAAGGGCATGAAAAAAATTGAAATGGGAAATGAACTTGGGGAAATAGCAGGTGTGGTGTGACATGATCCTGAAAATGATGACACTGCCTTTTGTTTTCTGTTTTCGCAATCGACTCATACGTTGGTTGCACTGTCTGTTGAGAATAGTTTGGATTTTCTGTATTTGGATTGGCGCAGTCGCATTGGTACTTCTGCCGCTGTCGTTGGTCGGGGAACAATTCCAGCGTCCCGTCGATTCAGACGACGAGCGTGGTTGCATGCTTACGAAAGAGTGCATGTGTTTTGAGGGAATAAAGGAAGGACAATAACAGAGTGCTACAAAACGGCTGCAGCTGGATATGGCTTTTACCACGTTTTTCTACGATGTGCCTAGTCGTCTCCTTTCCTTACTTCCCTTTCTTATTTTCATTCATATTCTCATTCTGTGAGGAACATACATCGGCCCTTCATCCTCACCTGCGCCGATGTGCACCTTCCGACAAGACGAGAATTGGAGAACACTCCATTTGGTTAAAGCTTTATGTGACACAAACTGCCACGCCGTATTTAATTAACGTGTATCCAAATACTTCTATCTGCTCTCTGCAAACCTCAACTTATTATCATGTCCCTATGTACGGAGTAGGTGCCCTGGATGTTTGTGTACAACATTTTCAAACGCCTCGAACCACTTCTGTTATTTATCCTTTTTATTCTCACGTGACGGAGGCGCTCTGACCACCAACAGACCCCATTTCCTTGATAGTCCTGTCTATATACCTTGGGCTTGTTTTTATCTACGCTGCCCCCACGTCAGGACGTCGTATTTGAATTGTGTCACAAACGAAAATGATAGAAAACTGTGACAAAATGCCTTGCTCTTTAAGAAGGAACGAAATATAATTTAAGAATAAAAAAAATCTAAAAGAAAAGACGAAGTTGCTGGGTTGGGGGTATGAAATCCAGACCGGCCGAGCAGTCTGTTTGGAAGAGAAATGCCATTCATCGCACTGCCAACAAGAAAACGACAAAGGGAGGCGAGTTTCAGCAGGGTTACTGTGCCTATCGCGCCCCTATACGGAGTACATACATTGTGATGAGCTGAAATAGGGAGGCAAGTCGACAAGCCAACGCGGACACTCGTAAATGAGTGCGGAGTAATACGATATACACACCCATAGGCAGAAAGAAAGAGAAGCCGACAAGGTCACGGAAAGCATGGCTAACTAGAGTCTTGGCAGAGAGAGCGATGCTCGAGAGGGGCGTCGGAGGCGTCGGTGCTAAGACGAAATCAGATAAAATTAGGAGTGTGTTTCTTTTTCTGTTCTTTCTTTTTTTTTTTAAAAAAAAAAAAAACCGACGATAATATTTTGTGCGACCAACAACCGGCCTGCCTTACCATTTTTCATGGTCTCATTATAATTGGATTTGGAGGCCGTATTCTCTGACGTGTCTCGCATTGGAAAGACTGCAGCCAAAAAAAAAAAAAAAAAAAGCAAAGCTTGCCTTGTCCAGGGCAAACGCGGCAACCAAGAATTGCAAGAAAATGGCTTTGCGCAAGAGCAAGACGCGATCACAAACCGGAGAGCACAAAGGATGCGGAAGCGTTTGCAAGAGATTACGAACGGGGCGGCAACCGCAAAAGAGACAAGAGAGGGCCAGACCGGCCAGGCGCAGGAGAGGCTCTGGCATGTCTCTCATCGCCGTCGCTCCCCGAAAAGGTCCGAACCATGCATACTTATCAACTGTGGCGTTTGATATGTCAACAACTAAAATGAGAAGCAGCGAAATCCAATAAATGAATCCTATACGAAAGGAAAAGAATGGGATGCGAGTGCGAGAAGCATCATAAAATCACAGGACCGCAAATGCGAC